CTTTCTCGTGACTATTCTCATCATTGGATACCACAAGCTCCACAACTACAAAGTTTTTCATGTTTGTTGTTCTCAAAACCTCTACGCTTCACAAGAGAACAAATACTGATATACTACTCCAAGAATGAATGAAATCCAGTCTCTAAATTGTTTTTTAGGAAGATAATTTTTTAAGGAATCCAACAACAAGCAAATGGAAAGTTTGGCAAATCAAATGATTGGTTATTGTAAATAGCATACTGGTTTGGGGGAAAACAGACAAATGCTGCTAAGCTAGTAAGATGATTGAAGTCAACTAAATTTCATATGTTTCGAAACAAAGGTTATAAAATTTACCTCATAATTGGGAAATAAGTTAGGATGTAAACTAGTCCACAAGCGATGGTGGTCTGATGTCATTGCTTGCCCTTTAAGAGTTGGATTCCCTAATGTAGTTGTTGCAGGGTTCTCCATCGGTAATAGCGAAATTAGAGGAAATGGATTATTAATAGCTTCAACATTCAAGATGCAGATAACATGTTTCAACATTTTATGGCATTAAAAGAACAAGAACAAGCTAAATGTATTCTTTTGTGGGAAACCGAAAGCAAACAGATTGAACATCAACAGGGTTCTCTACATCAATTAGTCTCCAACTAGGGTAATAGATTCAACAGTTTTCGTAGTTAAGTAAAAGCAGAAGAACACAAAATTACAATGGCCAGAAAAAGGAAAATAGAAAGTATAATTTTAAGTATTACATTTGATCTCCTTGCACCGTGGACTTCATAAGGGTGAAATTGCAAATGCCTCAAACTTCCATTATCCTTTGGGCCATCTCCAGAAGATGGGGTTGAAATCATCAAGTTCAGATCAAGATTGTGGTTGCCACCTGCATTGAAAGTCTTGAAAACTTCATTCGCCCACACAAAGAAGCTAATAGTACTATAGAAGGCAACCAAAAAAACAAAGCTATATAAAAGATCAAACATAAGCATAATAAAGCAATACCTTCGTGATAAGCCTCAGAGATCATCTCCCCATCATATGTATTTGGCTTAAAGTTGGTGACTGTTTCCTTTCCATTACATTTGATAGCTGCTTGGTCGTAAGCCCTAATTTCCAAAAAATAAAAAAGGGAGATACGTGTTGAATGACAACCAATTGAGGTTGAGAATACAGGGTAATAAATTCAGTATCTGGAAGAGAGTGTAATTCATGATCATAAAGACCTTGCAGCTTCTACTTCATTGTCGAATAGGCCAAGATATATATACCTGCAACACAAGCATCATTACCCCAAGATGAATAATGGGTTCCCAATCATGTTTTTCGTTCAAATAGGCATCCTAGATTTATTTTCCAGACAAGCACAAGAAATCCCATTGTGAATTATCTAAAACCAATTGTCAGCTCACACTAATAAAGATCCTTAAACTGTTTATATTCAATAGCCACTCCTACAATATAAACAAGAAAACGAAATTTTAAAGAGATATAGTTCCTCACTTTCGGCTAAGGAATTGCCCCATTCGAGCTTCCCATTTACCACATTTGTGTAGAGTCACCCCTCTGTATTTTGAGCTCCCCCTCGAGAAACCAGTGCTCTGGCGGCAGAGTATGTGCACTGTGAAACCCCGTATTTTTATATAATAAAAATAATATATATACTTTTAATTTTCTTAAATAATTATTCACAATATTTTGAATTTAATATTCTATATATTTCTATACTGAAAATTTATTCAAAATAAAATAAAATAAAATATTTTTGACTTTATATTATTACTCAATATTAATTTCTGAGCCATATAATATTTTTATTATATTTTTCTCTATATTTTTTTTGTAATCAAATTACACTGAAACATAATATTTTCTGTACTAAAATCCAATAAAAAACCATGGGCTTGCTCCCATGTTTTCTTACCTCCTACCTTCCATGTGCTATCATTCTCTATAGCAAAAGAAACATGGTGAACATGCTGACCAGGTGTTCAATTTCTTCTTTTTTTAAATTTCTTTTCATTTTCTTTGATCTTCTTTTACTCTTCCTCATTTTACTTCACTTCCAATTTCATAGCTTTCTCTCTATCCGTTTCATCTCTCTTTCTCTACACCTCTCATTCTCAAAACTCTTTCTTCTTCTTTATCTCTATTCTTACTCCTCCTCCCGACCTCCATAGCCATGGCCTCAACCCATACTATCACCATTCGAACCACCAACCCACGAACTTCACCACCATTGGCGCACCGTCGGACCGCCACCACCACCATTACCTATTTCCATTATCATCTAGAACCGCCATTCACAAAGTGTTGTAGGTGAAGAAAGAAAAGAAGAAGGAAGATAGAGGAGAAAGAAACAAAGTTAGAGAAGTTTATTTTTAAGTTCAAAAGTTGGTTTTGACTTACGTTCGACATGCCAAAACCATCCATTCCGGGAAGAAGTGAGAAAAATAGGCCATGTAAGATGAAGTACGAAGTAAGTTGAAGAGATTGGTGAAAGAATGAAGTAAAACCGTTAAGAATTAAGAAAGTTATGGGGTTCGAAAGATGGTTCGAAAAAAATGTCCGAGACGGTAGGAAAATAATCTTATTTTTCGTCAAATTTTGGAGATCCGATGGCATGAAAAAAGAGACAGAACGAGGCGTGAGTAGTGGACCAAAAACTAGGTCGTGAGGTGAATCCAATGACAGAAAAATAAGATAAAACGGAGTTACGATGACGAAGATACAAGCATTTGAACTGGTGATATTGAAACTAAATTTCTGGGTCTTCTGTTCGTGCATGCTACGGTTGGTGGAAAAGATGAATTGAATTTTATCCAGCGTTTCTCGGCCCATAATACTATGGTGCATCCTAGTATCTTTAGGTTAATCGAGTGGTCCTATGACTTTGGGGATGACCACCCTTAGGTTTTTCGACATGTAGAATCTATTTTTGGGGTTAGATCTTTCAAATTCTAAGTCTAAGATGATGATCAACAACTAAAAGTTCTAAGAGAATCCAATGGGAGATCAACAGTGAGATCACGCCCGATTAATGTGAAATTTCAGCAAGATGATCATGGAGCCAGGACGGTCATATCTTACGATCAGAATCATAAATCAAATTCGGACGATAAATCATTAGCAACCTAACATAGTAAGAAAACCCTCTCAACCCTCTCATTTTTTTTTTTGAAATTTTCAGATTATATACATATGATAAATTGTCTAAACTTGTAGATAGGATTTTATTTATAATTGTATAAAAATTTTATGATGGTATATTAAATATTGGTAATCTAAAAATCATAATAATATTGTGGAATTTGGACTTGCATGTACAGTTTATGCCATTAAAAGATTATTGAAGATGTTATTTGGCCCTTTAAATCTGCCAAAAAGTTGTACGAATTTTTAGACAATTTTATACTCAAAATTTGAAGATAATTTCTTCTACAAAGTTGTTGATAATGATTTCTAGTTCATCCACAAAGTTTTTCAACAATTATTGAGTTTTGTACGAATTTATACAGATTTTTAACCAAATCTGGAGCTATAGACAGATTTTATTATGTGTTTGAAAAATCATTAAAAATTTTATATTAAACCAAATCTGATAATTTCTAAGTAAAAAATGAAATTTGAGAAGTCTAGTTTCATAATAAATTTTTAGATCATGGAATTGATTTATAGAATTTAAGTATGGAATTAATTTAAGGAAATGTGATAAATCTGTGTCATAAGCACTCTTGGAATTTTTAAGAATTATTTATAATTTATTTTTTGAAAATGCTTTCTGAAAAATGACCATAACATGTTTATTGAGTATTCTGTATATTTATATAAATTTTAGAGTTGTATAAGTAATTTATTATAATTTTTATTACCTAAGGTATAACCTGAAAATTTCCGGACAGATTTAAGATCATCACTTCAATTATTTATTTGGATAAAAAATCAGTTATTGTGTTGGTCTAATTCATCAAATATTGTAAATTAGTAATCCATGTATGGATGTATTGTGGTTTATTTAATATTGTGCTAGTCTAATCTTATGGATTAAAAGTCCATGCATGTGTTTAATTATGATTTATTTCCTTTCTTTTTTTGGTATCTAAATTATTCCTTCATACCATGGTTTAAATAAATTATTTATTTAAATGTTGTACAATTGTTTATTATTATGTGACATGTGTAATATTTTATGTTTGGATTTTAATGAGTTGGTATAACATTATTGGTAATTAAATTTTGAATTATTGTGAATATTTCAACGAGTAAAGAGACACAAAATTTAACCAATGATACATTAAAGTGTAAAAATGATGGGGTGAGCCTGATTTAGAATCTTGCGCAAGTGAGTTGCGAACCCTAACATGGCACGGGAAGATATTTCGGCTCTTATCAGTGTAAGCGATATAAGGTTGGTGGTGCGGGTGTCACAACATAGACCGTTCCCTTGGGACAGACCGTGATGTCACGACTCGGGTATATAACCCTGATGCGTGGGCATCATTGGTAGTTATTGTAGGCACTACAAGAAATTGCATTTTTCTCAACACAACAAAATATGTTGCTAAAAGAAAAAATTTGTCGGCAAAAAGTTTCGCCGACACCTGAAGTTACGTTGGCAACCCATAGGTAAAAGTGAGTTGACAAAACCTTTTGCCTACGAAATTATCATTGCATTGATAAAAATAATGCCTTTAGCGACAAACATGATTGTCGGTAAAAGCATTCATTGATCGTCGGCAATTTACCTTGCATTGGGAAAAATAGTTTAAAGATGATGATTGTGTCACTTTTCCTGACACAAATTTGCGTTCGCAGAAAATATACTTTCAGCAACACAATATGAGTTAGCAAAAGTGAACTTTTGGCAACACATTTACCAACGAATTATTTGTCAAGAAAACTTTACTTTTTGACAACAACAAATTTGCATCGACAAAAATAATTAAAAATCATTCATATTTTTTATAAGATTTATTTTACCGACAATTGATTTGTCTCTAAAAGTGCAAAAATCGCTGGCATATATATACTGCATATATACCAATAATTTTCTATAAAATGCTTCCCTGTGATCTTTGTTATAACACCAGTACATCTTTGTTATAACACCAGTACATAGGTAGGATACTACTTGTAAATCCAACTTTGGAAACAACAACACTGTTTTACAGTAACAAAAAGTATTACAGCCATATCACTATTACTTACCACAACTACCTAACCAAAAATTATAGTATAATCTCCTACACAACCCGCAGGAGTAGGTAGTAAACTACTGGATATAGTAGCAGCAACATCAAAGGGGAATGTATACAAAAAGTATTGAAAATTATAGAATGATCCACTTCACTGACACGGCATGGCGAAAAAGGTTCTAGCCACCACCAAACTTCAAAGCCAAACCATTGAACATCAAAATGACCAAAGAGCATCAAGTAACCCTGTCCATTATGAAGTAGAAGATAAGTATTACCAAGATGAAACAGGTAAAACCAATCATAAAGCAACAAGAAGAGCATCAAGAAGAGCATCTCTTTTTTTTTTTTTTTTTTTGGGTAAGTAAGGAATATCAATCCAATATAGATACAATGCTAATGACAACAATGATGGAGATAAAGCATTCACCAAGTCAGGTCTCAATTTCCAAACCTATGTATTTCTTACATGTAGTAAGAAAGTAGCACATTCATGTGATCATGCATTTATAAGTTCTAGACAAAAAATAAAAAAATAATAAAAAATAAAAAAATGAGCGGTCATCATCAAAGAAATATGTAAAAGTCTATAACAGACAGCATCTTAATACCCTATCAACTAAAAAATTAGCAAATGAAATAGAGCAAAATGAATATCACAAAGAAATAAATAAGTCAGTTGCATCCAAACACAATGATCCAAAGGGACATAGTAAATTATAGAAAATGTGACTGAATTTTAAGTGGGGGGCGAGGAATGACCTTCTTAAGTGTTCGATAGATTTCTGTAAAATCACCAGGAGCTATCCTTTTTGTGGATGCTAGCTTAGTTAGCTCAGCAACAACCTCCTTTCGCTCTGACCACTTGGCAACTTTCTAATACATAAAAAGTGGCAAAATAATTCTAAAAAACACTAATAAATTGGATTTTCCTCACATTAATCAGAAAGCACAAGTACAAACTAGAAGTACAGCAAATATAAAATTTAAAAGGCAATGAATAACATGAAAAAAAGATTGAGAGGACTTACCACTCCATTCCAAAATTGTCTTCTCTAAAGGAGTCAATATATCAACATGATCAACAAGTTCATACTCGTCAATTTCCTGAGGAGCTGACAAACAACATGGATATCAGGTCCAATCATTCAATGGAAAAAAATTAATACAGAAATACTTCTAAAAAAAATTAAAACACGGATTCAATGTCGAAATTCAGTACTATTTCTTTCAACTTGATTTCATCCATCAAACTATTGCGGATGTTAATCGATGTAAAAAAGTAAACAATCGACATACCAGTTTGATTGGAAGATCAGGATCTGAAATGGAAAGTGTTAAATCTTCATTCCATTCTGGATTGATATACTTCCTTATAACATGAGTCTTTAGTTTCTGCGACAAATTGAATATATCAACATCCATGTAATATTTGAAAATTAGGTAACAGAAAGTAAACACATTACAAAGAAAAAATATCACATAAAAACGATTTAAACTTCCATATCAAAAACAATGCTGCAACAACTTACATAATGAATGCAACTTCAATAACGAAAATAAGACACACACACACACACACACACACACACACCAAAAAAAAAAAAAAAAGAGTTATAAGAAAAAAAAAAAACCATATCATCAAACAATTTTAGCCATATGATCTTGTACATAACGATTTCACGGTCAAAATACATTCAAGAAGTTTAAAAAACCTGTTTGATGAAAAAAATAAAAAAACAAATTGAAATTCTTCAGATCAAACTGAGTTTTTAAAGATTAACCGCATTTGGGAAAAATCTATACAATACTTGGTCCTGATTTTTGAAAATAAATAAATAAATGAATAATGACATAAATTAGAATGTCTATAAATGACACATTTACTTACAGTAGCAAAACTCAACCCCATAAAAAAAAAAACTTGTGTAATTAATTTTTCCCAAAATATAAAAAGAATCTAATCAAGCAAACTCCAAACCTACCAAAAAAGAAAAAGAAAAAGAAAACAATCCAAACCCACACAACCCTTCATCTCTTGCACTTGTTAGTTATAATTCACCCCTTACCACTGCCATAAATAAACCCTGAAGTTTCAAACGCTATACTTCTCTAAAATGAATTGTCTTCATAGCACATGTTCCCAATTTGCACTATATTCTGCTTTCCATTGAAATTTGCAAAACTGTCTAGCATTGATGGATTAATACCAATTCTGGTTCCTCCCTCAGCTTCTCTTACGTCCAGTCTCTTATATATGTCACACAACAAGGACTAATTAGATTACTCATAAGATTAACTTTCAAGCAAGTTTTGAATACCTTGATGCATAAATAACAGAACCGTTGAATTCATTTCAACCACGTAACTATATATATGGTTTTCATGATTTTTCTTGCATGATCGTATAAATATAAGTCTGAAATGGAAATCATGCAAAATTTTTTGAACACCCAATTCTGATACATCAAGAAACAGGGTTAAGAGTTAGATATTTTGTAATGACACCAGGTTCAAAGCATGAGGAGAAAGTGTCTTCGAATGAAGTGTATTCATAAGCATTTTAAGTCAACGGAACAATTCAATTTTATTGTAAAAAAAAAAAACCCAAGAAGAGCATGAAGTGAAGAGTTTCTCAGCAAACATCATAGGAATAAATAGTCTAGCCCAAGGATATACATTTGGTCATCATAAACAAAAGAAATGGAATTAATTGACAAATAATTGTTCTCCTCTAAAAAAATCCTTTCAACTATGAAGGAACAAAATGAATTTTTGTCAATTTGGGAGAAACCCTAATTTTAGAAATTTCTCTATATTTTGTGGCCCCGTTGTGTCATACTGATGAACCCAGAGAAAGACTGAAGAACTAGATGGAACATTAAAATTCTACTTTCCAGTCATCCTAATAAACCATTTCATAAGTCTTTGAAGTTGAAGAAACCCATCAACTTGAAATACTAAAAATTGAATAAAGAAAGTGTACTAACTAAAAACATATTTTATTGCTATCTGCTATAGAGCTTGCGGGGAGAAGTTACATGGGGTTTCCTTGCTACTTCAAACCCCATCTCTGAAAGCCGAAGTGTGACAGAAACAAAAAATTTAGAGTTTAGTGAAAACAACATCATAAAGAACCAGACATGGAAGATTGAGCAAATCTGGCCAAACAATCTGGTTGAGGAGATGTGGTGGTGAGATTTGACACCGGCAGACAGAGATCTGAAATTGTGAGATTTTTGGCGTTTCTACAACTCCGATTGCCGAGAAATAGGTGAGATCTTTCATCATTCGCGTAATCTGAAGGGCAATCGCTATGAACGGAGATGTGAGGAGCAGTTTGCGCAGCCAAAAAAATATAAAAAGGGTTTGTGCCGAAAAAGATATGAGACTGAGGAGGGAGAGAGAGACAGAGGGAGAGGGATAGAAGACATACCTCTGCTGTGAGAATGAGAGAGAGGTGAGAGAATGAGATGGAACTTCAATTCGCTCTTTATAAAAATAAAATTTTAAAAATATATATATAATTACAAGTTAATTAAAAATGTGATTAAAAAAATATGATAATATTTAAATTAAAAAATGTGATTAAAAAAATATAATCATAATTAATTAAAGAGCGAAGTAAAAAATAAATATTATCACACTTAATTAAATTAGATGTGATTAAAATATTAATTTGATTTTTTTAATCATATTTTTATTAAAAGTGTCATGTTTTTTTTTAAGTGTAATATTTAAGAACTAGTGTATGCCCGTGCCTAAAGGCACGGTGCTAATAATGATAAAATCAAAATGTAATTGAATATAAAATTGTTGGGTTAAAATATAATTTATTCCATTTGTTGCTAAAAAATTGAAGTCAAAATATAAATCAAGGTCTGGTTAATTTTGAAAAGTTTTTTTTTTTTAAACTTGAAAATAAACATTTTCTAATCAACTATTTAAAGTACGGCAAGTAACTCAATCATAAACATTTTGATTTTATTAACAAACTTTATGACTCTAAAGCATAAACTTCATATCAACACAAAAATTAAAAATAAAAGCATCCTTACCAAGCAAGTCAAAAAAAAAAAAAAAAATTTATAGATACAAAATAAAACGCACACCCCAAAGATATTGTACATTTCTTAACACAATAATCCAAAAAAAATTACACCAAACAATGCACAACCAATGCTTGACAATTACAAAAAAAAAAAAATTAAATTAAAATTGAAATACCAAACAATGCATGCCAGCTAGTGCTCTATAATCTATAAAAAAATTAAAATTGAAACGCACGCCAACCAATACTTTGTAATTTAAAAAAAATTAATTTTAAACACCAAGCAATGCACACTTGCTAGTGCTATTGCCACAACTCAACATTGTAATAGTTCTTTGCAAATTATAAACCCAAAACTACATGAGAAAAAATATAGGGGAAAAAAAAAATTTAACTTGCCCACATGGTCACATGAGATTTTTAAAAATGTATTCTCAGCACAATCTACACCACATGGAAATAAGAAAAAATCAAGTACAACAACTTACTAATGGTGCAGAGAGACCATATATATTTTTGTTCAAACCTTATGTAACACAACAGATATATAAAATCATGGAAACACCTATGTAAGGACTAATACTACTGTTAATATTTTTGTAAGGTACATCCCTTTTCTAATCACTAATAAATGTGAACGCATACAGGAAAAGATTTCAACTGTTGAAGCAATTATGGATTTAACAATTATAGTAGACCTCATCAGTCAGACAATAAGGTATAATAGACCCTAATAACAAAATTCCTTCCACAACATGAGGAGTTTATTCCCAAAACCAACCAACAATACAAAGTTAATGAAAAAAGAACATCTGTAGGTGTGAAATCAATAATCTTCTGCACTTTCAGTGTTTAAATAAACATCTAAAAATTTTTCATATACAAAATTGTAGAAAGCTATTGTTTTAAGCATTCGCTTTAAGTGAATAAATCTCCCCTCTGTAGAGATGAACCTTGAGAGCAGTCTCAAAATGCAAAGCTCAAAATATTGTTTTTCCACTTCCCGTTGGTGCTGAAATGACCATATTTACATCGGATTGGAAACAGGTAGAAAAGCATTCACTCTGCAATGAGTTAAAGTACCTATACAACAAATACAAATGCATAAACAATACCAATTACACCATGTATAGCAACAGAACAATATTTTAGGCATTGTGGGTCAATTCCCTAAAGAAAATTTAGCATCATACATTGTTTGGGAGGCACGGTGTAAAGAAAATTTAGTGTATGCCCGTACCTAAAAGCATGGTGTAAAGAAAACAAATGGGAAAAAGGATACAAATGGGAAAAAGATTAAAAAAAAAAAAAAAAGGTTTGGGAGGCATCCATTGCCACTGGTGGCAACATCATTAGCAGGGAATGAAGGGGATGCGGAGGAGGCACATGTGAGGCGAACAGAGTCGGTGATGGCTTAGGGGTGAACAGCAGTGTTGTAGGTGTAGGGAAAGAAGAGAAAGAGTCAATAGAAGATAGAAGAGGTATGGTGAGAAAGAAGAGAGAAATGGAAATAGTGAGAGAGTGAAAAAAATCTCAACGCTTCACTTTTTAGTTGGGATTATCTAAACCATTCTAACCAAATATAAGAGAAATATTTTCAAAATTTGCTACAAATATAAACTGAACTAACTACACAAAAATCACCTAAATGAACATCATAAATCTAGAAACAATGAATCAAATGTAAAAGTTAAAAAAACGAACTCATCAATAATGAAAATTCAGTGTTTGATTTTTCCTTGGACTTGCAGTACCTTATTCACAAATCACAATAATATGTTTGAATATAGATATTAGACTTTTCTCAAGTGTACAAAGGTTCTAGAGTTCCAAATAGGAGACGTTGCACATGATAATACATATGTAAGCAAATGATCCTTCCAACTGAACCTTTTTATCAAGCATTACACATGCAACCAGTTGTGGCTAATACAAAACACATGAAAGGCCAACTCAATAAATAAAAATAATAATAAAAAACCAAACACATGGAAGAAGAAATATTTTGAAAACCAACAATGAACAACAATGTACTACCAAATAAACCTTGGAGTTTGAATCATATTTAAAATTTTTGAATGAAAAATGAAGAAACTTACGCACTTTAAAACACCATTGCACTGATGGAACACATACTTGGGTGTCCCAGTGGCATAAGTCTGTCTGATAAACCATCATCAGGAGAAGTGTTCTGCGCCCAGCTTACTTTCTCCCTGTATTCCAGTCAGTCAACTTCCTATCAGCGCTGTAATTTTGATTTCGAACATAATTCTTCATTTAGTTATCTAAAAAAAAAAGAAGAGCTACATTGTCTACCTTCTCATCATAATGTGTAAATTGAAGAGCTAGGAAACAAAATTAATGTAGCAGAGGCAGAAATGGGAGGGGAAAGGAAAAAACAAAGAATAATCAATATCTGGAGTTGTAGACATGTTTTGAATTTCTACATATTTTAAACAGAATAGAGAACAAAAGGGCAACTTTAAAATTATAAATTTCACGGAGGGCAACAAAAGCTGAAAGAGAAAGAAGGAGATGAGTGAAACAACAAAATCTGAGAGAAATAACTTACCGGAGTGAGCTCTGATGGGGGAAGAAGGAAAACAACAAAAGCTGAGAGAGAGAAAAGAGAGAGAGAGAGTTTTAAATTTGAAATCAAGAAACCTACGCACTTTAAAATACCATTGCACTGAAGAAATCAAGAAACCTGTTAATCACTTGAAGATACAAAGCAAGTAAGAGAGATGTTGATATAGGATTTATGGATACAATCATGAAATTAATTTTCTTAAATAAACCTGATGAAAAGTGCAATAAAATAGAAGCACAAATAACAATTCAATTAAAGAAGAATGCATGGATAGTTTTTTTATTTTTTATTTAAGCTTTAAATTTTGGTTCCCCCATGACTAAAAGGATATATATATTAGAAGTCCTATTGAAATTAAGTGCCAAACTATAAAACAATATGTGCAGCATATGGATTGTGTTGAGCCATGATACCACTATCAATCATCCCATAAAAACAAATTGAATTAATGATTGGGATCCTTCCACTAATGTAAAGATGATGATAAGATAAACAAATTTACTTATCACACTATTACTCGTTTGTAAATAGGCATTGGACGTTAAAAAAAAAAATAATATAACGGTGATATCATATTAAAAAAAATTGATTCATATCATTGAATTTTATTTTTGTGGATGATGCAGCCATTTTATTGTTCTTGGTTACATTGTTTTATCAAGAGTTGTGCCTCGTTTGGGAATTCAAACTCAAATTTGGAAGAATTGTTAAATACTCTGTTATCCTCAAATGCTGTACAATTCTATGAACCAAACATCTTTGAGGAAAACAAAAAAGAATAATGAAATTGTGAGTTAACATAGCTGAAAAACAAAAAGGAATTGGTGACTTGTTTCCTTCTGTTTTAGTTGATTTTTGCTAGATGTGCTGTTTCACATTTTACATCAGATAAAATTGTTACAGAAATCTAAATCTTTATATCAAACACAGAAATTAACAATTTTTATACTGGAATGCAATATTTCAAATAAGATAAATTAGAAATCAAGAAATTTATTGAAATCAATGTATAAATCTAAAAATTGAGAGCGAAGACTCACTGTCTCGAGGATAAGAAACTGAACCGAAACTTCACTGATACAATGATGCTTCTTTGACAATGTTGAAATTTCCTGTTAAAAATAAAATAAAAAGTGTCGAAATTTCGGAGGGAGGGTAACACCATAATAATTGAATCTCATTCTCCAAGCCAAAGTCTGGCAATGGTAAGGAAGATCGAAGGTGTTGTGATTGTGTGAAACCACATTTATAAATTGAAGGCACTTTATGGGTACTTTTTTCCGGGAAAAAATTCGTACACAATAACATGAATGTAAACACAACAACAATAACATCCAATCAAATATAATCGAATTTCACACATGAACTCAAAAAAACCACTAAAATTAACCAAACAACATCAGAAATCGCAATTATTCATATGTAGATACAATTAAAAAATAGACACCAGCCCGTCAGAAAGAGAAAGAGAGAGGCAGGACACGATGAACTCAAAAAAAAAAAACCTAAAATTAAACCAAACAGTATCAGAAATCGCAATATAAAAAAAAACACACGCCCACAGAGAGAGAAGGGGAGAAGTAGAAACCGAGGACTACCTTGCGAGCTGAGTTCGAGAGGCAGAAATCGAGGACTGGAGATTTCCTCACTATCAAGTGAACATCTTCATTTGCTCTATGGCCAGATCTGCATGTCAAGTTTATGTTTAAAAGATGACTATCCAGTCTTCAATCATTAATTAAGAAAAATAAATAAACGAAGATTGAGCACATTGATACATTTCTAGTATAACCATCATCAAAGTATCCAATTCAAATTAAAACCAAATCAAAATTCG